AGCTTGACCCGTGAGTGCTGCATCGACCTCTCCGGATGCGTGCAATCAATAACGAGAGGATAAGCCGGATGCAGTTAATTCAACAACCCCATTAGGGTCATTGATCCTAGTTTCGGACACACAACACACATCGATACCCAGTGTGTCCAAGGTGCGTGCAAGTGCAGCCTAATGACCTGTTTGTCTTAGAGTGCAGACGTTGAATGTCGCCATGGAAACGGGACAGCGTGGCCTTATAAGGGACTTTTGCCGATAGGCGCCCGATGTGTGTCGCGAAGTGGCTGCAGATGGTTCTACTCCAGTGGCAATTCAGTTGCTGTCGATTAAGCTGGGAATTATAAAAGGAAAGTTAGTAATGGGGTCGGGATGGGAGTAAGAGAAACAGGTGTGCGTGCACTCTGCGCGCACAGAAGTTAGCTGAAAGCGAACACAAGGTGGTTAAGGAATGATTGAGGCCAAAAGTATGAAGGTTCTGACTTCACAGTTGGCCGCGGTCAGGCGTCTTCAACTCGTTGGTTGGGGGCGCACGGATCACGAGCACATATGCCGGAAACCCTATCGGACAAAATAAGAACCCGTGAGCAACGGCAAACATGTTTTGAGACATTAATTCCATTACTGAAGTGCTACACTAACTTCTTCACATCCCATGCTTTTATTTGTGTTGTATTTTCTTTCTCCATACGTTGTGGCAATTTGCCAATTGTACTGTTGGTGTGCAGTTATATATATATATATATATATATATATATATATATATATATATATATATATATATATATATATATATATATATATATATATATATATATATATATATATATATATGGATTGCCGGCATCCGTATCCGGATTTGCCTGCCACTGTAAACTCCATGGGGAGAGCCAAAAGACGCCCGGGCATACAGAGGGACCATGGGTGGTCGCGCCGCACCACCCACACTCCCTATATCCAGTGTAAACCCGAAGGAATAAGACCGGGACGCATGTGGATGGGAGCCACGTTTCATCAACGGAGCCGGCCCACACTCCTTCACAGGCAAACACAAGCACGATGTATTTGGGGAATCAATCGCACACAAGGCGGTGGCTGGACCGTAGCCCGCTCCACACTGAGTGCATGGAAACACTCTTCGAGCCTAGCACGACCACAAGGACCGTGCACCCCGTACCCTCCAGCAACGATCAACTGTCTCCTGGAGCCAGTATGGATGAGGCACATCAAGCGCAGCCACACCGGGAATGTCAAGCAACAGCCAATCACTTAAAATGACAATATGAAACAAAACAAATCCAATAATGCATACAGATACGGTGGCATAACTCTACGCTAAATTAACATATGAAGTAAGTTGGTTAACAACGAATCCGCGATTAGGAAAAAATGACCACAATGCTACAAACGCAACAAAATTACCGAAGAGCAATTAGTGTAAGCAATGTAACCAGTTAATAGAATATAATTCAGGTAGGCAGAACAAACCAAATAAAGTGGAATGAAATTTAGCCAGTTTAAAAGACCTAGTTTAAGTGTAAATTGGTTTGGCCTAACTGCAGTGAAGAAGCATCAAGAATGCAACATCAGCCTCAGCATGGGGCACACATACATACATGGTTGGCGGCATCCGGTTTCGGATTTGCCTGTCAATATGGCCAGCCACAGGACGCCTGCGCTTACAGAGGGACCATGGGTGGCTTGCTCTGCACCCCCACAGCTTCAATCACACACCACATATCCAGTGTAAACCCGAAGGAATAAGACCGGGAGGCATGTGGATTGGAGCCAGGTTTCATCAACGGAGCCGGCCCATATTCCTTCCACAAGCAGTAAAGAAGCATTCCGGCTTTATTAGGAAGTCATGCACAACAGATGTACTCCAAGCGATGGCTGGGCCGTAGCCCCTTCAACACAGGACGCTTGGAACCACTCTTTGAGCCTAGCACCGTCACGAGGACGGGTTACGCCGTCTCCTCCAGCAATGGCCAACTGTCTCCTGGAGCCAGCAATCGTTGTGGAGGGTGTTAGACAGGTAGGCGCCATGTCAACATTCACAACAGACACAGCCACACCGCGGAGCTCAAACAACATGTACTTCTGAAATGTAAAATTACTCATCACGCAGGCAAACGTACCACATACACTGCCTTATCGGCCTGGATTAATAAATCGAATGGGAGCGTACGCATCGTGCTTCTCTTCCGCGTGCAATAGTGCCTTTTCAAACACCTCGGCAACCGGCCTCTTGATCAGTCCACGGAATTCGCGTCGATCAACTTTGCCTTTGAATCGCAATACGAAATCAATACTAGTTCGTCATAAACTTACCTTCTTTCTGTCCTGGTAATGTTATTTGCGGTTTGTCCCAGTGCCGCTTCCCTGCACTAAGTTGGCCGTACAAAAGTGGTATGAGTATCCACGTCGAATTCATTCGGTACACATATCTACATGGATTGGCATCGTCCGTGTCCAATGGCAGTTCGAATACAACATATGCACATGCGTTTGTGTAAACTTGAGTGTGAACTGCCACAAACTGGATAGAGGAGACACATTAAACCTCATGAACCATAGTACTACAAACGTGCCTGGGTTTCATTCGGAGGTCAGGCTAACAGCCATTTTCGCAAGCATGAGAATAAGTCCGCAGTACGAAATGTTGTTGTTATCTTCAACATTTAGACGTGAGCATAAATAATAGCATTAAATTTTGGGCATCAATATTTGAACGAAACTGACATAGGAATAGTGACGCAGCTGCTATCAGTACGGTTACAAGGTAGGATGATTATTAAACAAGCGTGCATTCAGGTGTTGCCTCCTATATGCGCAATGGATATCCACGCAAGTTCATCTGAAGATACATAAACTGCAAGACTACAAATGCCACACCTGAACCAACAACAACGAAACGGATCGCCTTGCCCTACATCAAGAACGTATCGGAAATGACTGCTAGACTCCTCAAGTCTTAACACCTGTTGTTAGCGCACATACCAATCGTTAGTCTGAAAGCAACCCTAGCTAGACTGAAGGGGAAGACGGGAGTACATGAACGTCGGCACGTTGTGTACAGGATAAAGTGTAAAAATTGTGATAACCACTACGTGTGCTAAACAGGGAGAAAGTTATCTACCAGGTTACAAGAACACAAGCGAGCATGTCGAAACAATTATTCATTATCATTGGTCTCGACACAAGTTGACGAAGAAGGGCACATGTTTGATTTGGAGAAGACGGAGGTCTTAACACAGGGAGACAGAGGAAGAGAATTTCTCGAAGCATGGTTCTCTACGGAGAACTCGATAAACCTGCGCCTTGATTTAGACCCGATCTACCATTAACTGCAAAAAAAAGAATTTAAGGCGGGTGATTCACCACATGAGTCTAAAAGAGGCGGCGATCGAACTGCAAACTAGCAATGGTCACGCGACGTGAATCGAAATGATCAAGTTCAAACATCACTCTCCCACCGATCAATTTTTGGTTAGTACGCACTGACGAAGTCACCTTGATTGGTGATGAAACGTCTGCAACGAAATAGTTCGGCTTGGAGAACGAACCTAAACCTGAACAAACAACCCGAGCTACAGGTATTCCGCTTTATTGCTATATATATATATGTATATATAGAACCTGTAACTTGCCGGTGCCTCCAACGAAGGAAGCTCAACCGATAGGGGCCAACTCACACTGCATATACAAATTCGAGTGCGACTGCGGAAACAGTTACACAGGCAGAACCAATCGGTCTTTGACTTCCTGAATAAAGGAACATGTGCCAAGGTGGGTTCAACGTGAAATTGACCAGCATCCCTGTCCCACTGAAGTTCCGTGCTTGCGCAAGCCGCCAGCTTCCTCAATAGGTAAACACCTACTGACTACGCGTCAACGGATAGAGCTCGGATCAGCGTTCACACTTGTATTACGTCACCCTAATCCCCGCTTCCTCCGTTTCGCCGAGGCCGTTGCGATAAGCCGGATGAAGCCGGCCCTGTGTGTTCAAAAGCAATTATTTATCAGCTTAAGACTGCCGTGGACATAGGGGTGAAACTTCCGTCATTCATTTTGCACCCCATGCTTATTCGGTCACACACATATTTAAGTATATGGTTGCATACCGGTTATTGTTAATGGTACTGAGGGGACAATACGAAATGCATGCATCTACCAGTTTTCGTCTTCTTACCGTGCTTTTCAAATTTCTGAAGGGAACTAAATGCTTTAAATATATATATATATATATATCAGCTTGCTTTCAGGGGTGGTCACTACTTCCCATTCCATTCATGCAAATATGTAGCGTGCAGCTCGTTAACCTGGCCCATCAGGTCGACAGACATAAAGAGGCTTGTCACGTCTGATCATTGATGCCTTCGCAGCTTAGCTCCTGTCTGATGGGTCAACCGCATGAGCAATGAGCCTGTTCAACGTCAGTCAGTAAACCGCTCAGCATCAAGCTCACATGGCCTGGTCACGTGTTGCGCATGCCACCACACCGACTGCCGCGAAGTGCGTTTGCGCGCCAGGGATTTGCATGGAAGAGGAGGAGAGACAAAGCGATAATTTGGTAGAGGAATGAAAAACCCTCACTTTGAACTTAGCGTCGGTTGGTGTTAACAGACTGCTGCGTTGGCGTCCGAAAGATGATGAGCACGTTTGGTTGGATACACACGGTGACATGGCGAGGAGCCGACCCTAGTGGTGTTTGTGTTGGGAGTCTCATGGTACCTCCCCTCACCTTTAACTTCCATCTCCAACAACGATCTCAAACCCAATGCATAATGTGATACATAGCATTGTGTTATATTTTTAGCTTCTGTAGTCTGTAACATCCAATCGCTTAACTTATTCTGAGGTGTGTTTCACACCATCGGTTCCAAGTGCACTGATGATGATGATGAATCGAACAGATTTAAGAGGAGTGGTATATAAATCGAGGCAGAAAAGCATGGAATGAACTCGAAAATGTGTGGGTATCAAAGAAGCGACGACAAACTCACCTTTTCATTAAAACAATCCACCAAATCGTTAACATATTCGCTAATTTCTTGAGCGAAGGAGAACGCCTTAGCCATTGTGGGAAGGTTCTCGCGGCACTCAGCTATCACTTTTCTGCCACGTGCAAGATCTGCTTTCGCATCGGCCAGGTCAGTTTCATGCTTGGACAGGGATTTCGATACGGAGTCAAATCTGTTCAAAACAATACATTGCAAAAGCGGGTTAGATGGTTGATACTAAGCAAGGTAACGCATGCGAACATGGGCCAGATTTGTTAAGAATTTCGAATTATAACCAACGGAAGAAGCATACGTGTGTAGACACAGGCAATATTTGGGGGACAATAAACAGTTGCCTGATTTCCATCATCTGCTCCGCTAGACGCATGATGATCAGTGCAGAACAGGACTGAAATTTGTTGACGTGACCCCAATGGTACACGTGGAATGAGGCTTAAACCAAGAAGGAAAATAACTGAGGTTATTATCCAGAACCTTTAGCTGACAGATCGGATCGCAAGGTAGAGGAACTATGGTTAAGTAGTATAACGGTCTGGTCGCTGCGATTATCCCAGTCCGTAGAGACGAAACGCGCCCCGCGTAAAATTGCACACCGAAACAAGACGGAACACACTCGTCGATACACGTGAATGCACTAGTCGATACTCACGCTGTGTAACGCTTGAAACCCCCGGACGTAACCTCGAGAGGAAAGAAGACTGGTCTTCAGCAGAACACTTTTAAGACCCACCGCAAAGGCGACTACATAGCAGCACAGCCCAAGCTTTATACCGAGACTGGCGATATAGAGTGCACAATCGAACCCAAGGAAAAAGGTCCCAGTATTCGTGAGACTGTACGAGGCATGAGAGTTCCCACCCAATGCTGCAGGTAACGGAGCAGGTGGTTGGCGGCATCCGGTTTCGGATTTGCCTGTCACTGTAGCCAGACACAGGACGCCTGCACCTACAGAGGGACCATGGGTGGCTTGCGCTGCACCACCCACAGCTCCAACCACACGCCCTATATCCAGTGTAAACCCGAAGGAATACGACTGGGAGGCATGTGGATGGGAACCATGTTTCATCAACGGAGCCGGCCCACACTCATTCACAAGTAAGTGCAAGTACGCTGTAGTTGGGGAATCAAGCACACACAGGGCGGTGGCTGGACCATAGTCCGCTCCACACTGAGTGCATGGAACCACTCATCGAGCCTAGCGCGGCCACAAGGACCGTGCACCCAGTCCCCTCCAGCAACGACCAACTGTTTAGTGGAACAAGTATGGACGAAGAAATGGGTAATGGACAGGTAGGCACCTTGTCAAAATGCACATTAAGCGCAGCCACACCGGGGATATCAAGCAACAGCCAATCACTTGAAACGACAATATTAAATAAAATAAATCGAATGACGCATACAGATATGTAGATATAGCACCTCAAAAAATTACCATGTGAAATTAATTTGTTGCCAAAAGATAAGCTATAGGTTCAAGACGTCAGGAAACATATTTTAAGAAATATGCCACAAACGCGAAAACGTTATCGAAGTGATACGGTGTGTGCCGAGAAGCGACCGAGTATTTCAGCAGAGGAATTTCAACGCACGTGTTGGGTGTGATGCATCGGTGTGGACAGATATTATGAGTTTGCATGGTATTGGTGCAGCGAATGCGAATGGTGACAGGCTGCTCTCACTGCGTGCCATTCACAGCCTGACGATCACAAAAACACTCGGTTTACACTGAGTGCGAGTGATATGGCAACTTGCACGCACCCACGGAGTGGTCACGCTCACCTGCTCGACTATGTCATCGTACGTCAGCATGATATGCGTGAAGTGCGCATGACACGTGTACCGCGTGGAGCTGAGTGTGGCAGTGATCACAAATTGGTACGGACCAAACTGTACATACATATTCGTAAATCTGTGTATTGCACCCCTACTGTAAATCGGCGTAAATTTAACATTCTCTCCCTCGGTACTGTGGCGGAACGCACTGAGCTGGAGAAGGCGATGGCTTCACAACTGTGTGACGTGAAATGCATAGCCACAGTGGGTGACCTGTGGCACCACATTCGTGACCAGGTGACAACTGCTGCTGAGGAGAACCTCGGGCGAGCAAACTGTAAGCGGCCTGATTAATTTAATGAGAACAATGCGACAATTGGCGCATTGGTGCTGGAGAAAAATGCAGCATTTGCTGCACATGTGGCAGACCCCAGTTACTTGGGAGGGAAGAGAAGGTTTTGGCGAATTCGACGACGACTGATCCGAGCGCTACGTCGCATAAAAAATGCATGGTGGACGGAGAAAGCGAAGCAGATGGAATGCTACGACGAACGCCGCTAACACCAGGAATTCTTTGACTCCTTGTAGGCAGTGTATGGACCAAGATTGGGGCCCTGAGGACGCTGATCGATGGTGGATCAGGCGCTACCTGCACACAGACTGCAGACATAATGTAGATCTGGCGAAAACACTTTGACTGTCTCTTGAACAACCGTACAGACTGGCCTACTTTGAACGGCCTGAAACAGCACGATGTGAAGGCAAGTCTGGCGGATACGCCGACACTGGATGAGACGCAAAGAGCACTTGCTCATCTGCGAAACGGCAAGTGCCGTCTTGATCTCGCATGAAGTATGGAAACACGGCGGACCCGCGTTGTTGACTGCGCTGCATAACTTGGTGCAACGTGCATGGATTGAGGAGGAGGTGCCTCCTGAGCTGAAGGATGCCCTTGTGCTACCACTGTACAATGGCGAAGGTAGCAAGCAATGTTGCACGAATTATCGTGGCATCAACCTTGCTGAGTTGTGTGTGCAAGGTGATTGCCCGAATCCTGCTCAACCGCCTCGTCAGTCAGTTGTGGAACCGAACGTGGCGGAAGAGCAATGCGGATTCCGTTCGGATCGCTGCACCATCGATATGGTGTTTACGGCTTGTCAGTTGCAGGAGAAGTGTAGAAAACGACACCAGCCGTTGTACTGGCTTTTGGTTGATTTCACCAAAGCATATGATAAGTTGAACCGCGAGGCATTATGACTGGTGTTAGGTAAGTTTGGTTGGTTGAATAATTTTAGGTAAGATTAATTGAATGTCACAACAGTGATATGCGGGCCAGAGTACAGCTGAGTGGAGAGACATCGCATGACTTTACAGTTGTCTCTGGTGTCAAGCAAAGCTGTCTTAGCATCTGTCCTGTTTAATATCTTTTTGCACTGATGTGCTTTTGATGCGGTTTGTGCTTACGGTGTTCGTTTGGAGCACCGTATAGATGGTGGGTTGCTGAACATCCGTCGTTTCGGTGCGAGAACCCTAGTCTGTGAGACAACTATCCGTATGTTGCTGTTTGCTGACGACTGTGCCTTGTTTGCACACAGCGCGGATGAGTCGCAGCACATGACTAGTGCTCTGGCTTCGATAGGGGCCAAATTCCGGCCTCACCATCAACACAAGCAAAACTGTGTGTCTGTTTCAGCCTTCACTGGAGGTGCAATCTGCAATAGTGTCGAAAATCAGCATTGGTGATGATATATTGGAAATCACCTCCCGCTTCTGCTACACTGAATTCTATGTTTTCCCCTATCCATTAAAATGCCTTCAGTGAACATATCACTGCTAATGAGTACTGATTCCGCATCGTCAACTTCCCCTGATACTGACATCTGTGAAAACTTTGAAGCTGATGTTATCAAGCCACCTCTTATTGAACAATCAGAGCTGAATGACCTGATATGCGGCCTGGGTTCGCCAAAAGACAAGGCCGAGTTGCTGGATCTCGGTTACAGCAGTGGCACTTGCTTGCTGCAAACACCGTTAAGGTATACAGAAAGCTAAGTGTTAAGTTGTCCGGTTACTATGACAAGATAGTAACCTTTTGTTACTGTTCCGACGTGGAAGGACTGATCAGGGAGCTCGGCGTGAGGCATATCAGTGGTGAATGACGTTTGTTCATTGACTCGTCCAAGAGTAGTCCTTAAGGCCATACTGCTCCACAATGGAAACGTGTACCCAACTGTGTCTCTGTTACATGCCACCAATATGAAGAATACTTACAAAAGTATGCAACAGATACTTGCTGCACTGAATTACGATAAGTACTGTTGGAACATCTGTGCTGACTTCAAAGTCATGGGACTCCTAATGGGTATGCAAAGAGGCTTTGCAAAATATTGCTGTTTCTTGTGCTTATCGGACAGTAGAACAACTCAACAGCACTACACAACCGAAAAGTGGCCAGAGAGGACGGAGTATGCTGCAGGGAAAATGAGTGTAAAGCATACATCTCTTGTGCAACCTGATGATATCTATCTACCACCGTTGCACATCAAGTTTGATTTGGTTAGAAACTTCGTCAAAGCCCTCAAGCGAGGTGGTTTTGCGTTCCAGTACCTGAAGTGTTCCCGAAGAGTAGTGATGCGAATCTCAAAGAAGAGATAATCATTAGGCCAGATATT